CAGACCAAAAACATGCATGTTAGGCTGATTGGTAACTCTAAATTGTCCCTAGGTGTGAGTGAGAGAGTGAATGGTTGTTTGTCTCGTTTGTCTCTATGTGGCCCTGTGATGGACTTGCGACCCGTCCAGGGTGTACCCCGCCCCTCGCACAGTGATTGCTGGACATGGGCACCGGCGACCCCCGTGACCCAAAATGGAATAAACGGGTAAAGAAAATGGATGGATGGATGGATGTGTGTGAATGTTCCTGTAAAGTGCCCTGAGACAACTTTGTTGTGATTTGGTGCTATATAAATAAACTGAATTGAAAACTATGACATTCTACTGATTGGAGACTTGTTTAAGATGCCAGCGATCCACTTTGTTCTTATCTGCGTTCAGACTAGCAGTTAGCTCGTCAGTCCTGTCAGAATTCAACTCTTTTTCCAAGTGGAAGTCAAGCAAAGAGCTATCTACCACAGGTAAGATATTCATTTTTCACGTGTTCCACAGAAACTCACTTGATAACATTTGAACGTTTCGCAACCAAATAGTAATTTTTTTTTTTCTTTGTTTAAGAGCTACATCATTTACCACAATCACTGAGAGTTTAGGAATTTAGCTCAGACCTTATCCCAAGTTAACAAATTAAAACATAATAGAGACATTTCAGTACTGGAGGAAATGGGTGCATTAAAAAAATTGTCTGGTGATTTTTGAAGTGAAGCTCAGTAAAATAGTTATCAATCATTAAAACCTTATCAGTCATACAACACAGAGTGATGGGAGGACAAAAGTCTTCCTGTAGTCTAGGCTAATAGCTAGGGTTTATTTTTAAACAGTTTTTAAGGTTTTTAAGGTCTGTACTGAAATGTAATTTGTTGTGTTTCGATGCAATGACAATAAAGGCTGATTCTGAAATTCAATTGAAAAAAGTGATACAGTTACGACAAAACACTGCATTAGCTAATGTTAAATGGGAGTAATTAGCCTAATAATATTACTCTGCTGGGAGTTGGGTAAACCTTTGGACTGGCTAGAGATTCTGATTGGGTGGACTGATGCATTCAGCAACCTCAAGATGTCAACATGTGTAGTAACATGGACGTTGTTGGGCTGATAATTTTGACCGATATAGACGTTTGGGGACTTATTGTTATCAGTGATAATTGTCCCATTATTCGCTGATATAAGCACTTCTAATTTTCACCCCTAAAATGCTGGGAAGCAGCTGTAATTGTACAATATATCCAGCAGAGGGCACATGCTGACTACCGTATTTTCCGCCATACACGTCGCTCCGCCCTATAAGTCGCATCAGTCCATATTTGTCTAATAAAGAGGAAGAATCCAGAAATATGTCGCTTCGCCGTATACGTCGCATCTATTATGTGTCACCACTGACGTGTCATGTTTGTTACGCGTCACCACTGACAACCCAGAAATGTGGGCTGGTGTTGTGTCAAAAATCGATTGGCTGCCAAATGGCGGCTGCGGGAGCATGCACGGGAGGAATTTAACAAGAATTTAACAAGACTAACACTTAAAAACAATTATTTGTTTACTTGAAATTATAGTAAAGATATGGCTCAGTCTAACTTTAGCTTAATAAACGCACTTTGACGGTCAAATCAGCTGTATTTCAAAAGTATTCGCTGCCTCGTTGCTCCGGGAATGCGCAGACAGGGACAAAATCATGAAGGAAAAATGCTGTGCATTTCTTCAAAATTTAACAAGATAAGCATCTAAAACAATTATTTGTTAGCTCGACATTATAGTAAAGGTGTGTCTCAGTTGAACTTTTACTTAATAAATGCACTTTAATGGTCAAATTAGCTGCATTTCTGGACTCCTGGCAGGGACCAATGCAGACATGTTCCTGTTTTTAGTTTTCTACATTCGCCTTAGAATCTAGCTGTTTTTTTTTGTTTGTCTTTTTGTTACCTTTTCCTTTTAGCCATCCTATTTGAAAATAAATAAATAAATAAATAAATAAATAAATAAATAAAAACTGTATTATGACTTTTTATAATTGTTTATTGTTGTTGCTGTTGTCCATTGTTGTCATCTTTCTTTGTTGAAATAAGGTCTCTCTTGTAAATGAGTCCTCGAGGCTCAATGGGATTTACCTGTATAAATAAATAAAGGTTGATTGATTGATTGATTGATTTCGCCGGGGCGGCGCAGCAAAATGTAACTGATTTGACGATTGCTCCATGCAGGCTGAATGAAGGTGGAAGGCTATGGCAAGCCAACTGTGTCATTACTAGCCATTTTTCCTATTACATGATACTATGGAATGCCATATTACTCGAGTGCCATCTAGCGGCTGAAAATGGTAATGTTCAATATTTTCAGTCAGAATGAATGAAAACGGTCATATCTCAGTCAATAATTGGTTTATAAATATGGGAAAAATCCATTAATAAGTCGCTTCGGCATATAAGTCACAGGGCGTGTAAATTATGCAAAAAAACGTGACTTATAGGGTGAAAAATACGGTACTTTCAAGTCATGGCCGTTCACTTTAACTTTAACTTTCACTTTCGGCACAGACGAAGCAGGGAGCATACTGCGTAGAGTATTTTGCTGAACAGAGCATAGTAAATTTATTTTATCTGATCTGTAAAACAAACAATAAATTAGCTTCAATCCTCCAACCAGCTTGTCATTAGCTACGTGTCTCTCAAGTTAGCAAGCTAACGTTTAGATAACCTAGCATAGGCTTTTGCTATGTAACACTTTATCCAGAACAATAAATCTAACGTAGGGGCAAATATATCAGTGTTAGTAACATCTTTGTCGTCCTCAATGAAATGCTTTGCTTGTCTGAAATCTTATCTTCTCTGCAAAGAAAAAAAATGCTGCTACCATCAATACTAATTAGACCTTCACCATACGTGACTGACTGTGTCAACAATGAAGAGGGAAGGGCACTTTTTTGTTTAATTTATATTTGTGTAACACACTTGATAACTTTATGGTGAATAGTGGAGGATAGAAAACGTGAACGCACGTTAGGAAGACAGTTTTTATGACCAGTGCACAACTTGTAAACCTACTGTGGGGCTAATTAAAGTGTGGATCTGATTTGCTTAGCTTCATGGTTGCCAACATCCGCGCTGAATAAACAAGCCTGGCTCCACTCGCTGTTTTCGTAGATTCTAAAAAATTTCCAGACAATATATTTGTTATCGGTGTTCCACTTCCCCTCCCAATATCGGTACCGGTGATTTCCATATCGGTTGGGCTCTAAGACTAACTGTGTCATGCAAAAGTGTAGAGGTTAATTATTAGCCTATGTCTTTTACACTGGTTTACTGTTTTTTGAGAAAGAGTTGATTTGTAAACCTGAAAAACAATATAAAGTGAACCCTCGTTTGGTTAGCCATTAGCCTAGCCTGGACAAAAACATTTTCTTCGTACTTTGTACCGGTACTCTGACTAATATCACTTAAAGAGTACTCTTAGACAGAACATGTTAAAAATGATCAAAGTATTTCTTTATTTCCTAAAGCATCACCAGAATTATGTGTGTAGGATTTCAAATAAGATAAAACTATCAGTAATGTTGTTGTGATGAAGGAAAAATGTGCAACAGAAAAGTTTTTTTTAATTTTTTTACTGCTTTGGTTCAAATCAAAATCTGTTAACATAATCACAACAATGGTGGTTTAAGAAATAACAACTGTCAGGGGATTTATTTGTTTTTATTGTGAAACCTTACTCTGGGAACATTAGACAAAGTCTTTTCTATAAGAAGAAGAATGACAGGCGTTTGAAAACTCACCAACATTCAGAATAGTGACCACAGAAAAATGGAATCTGGAGCCAAAGTTTCTCAGGAGCACAGTCTGAACCACCAGCGGACACACATTCATCGAACGTCTGAAACACAAAAAAACAGATTATCATCCAGAAAACCCATCATGGAGGTAAGTCCAACGCAAAAAGGATTATTCTGTAAATTGCAACCCTTTTTAATCTAGAATAAAACAATCATAGTGTCAGAAATAACTCGATTCCTCTTACACCACTGAGCCTTTTCATATTGGAGCTGAAGCGTGAGATTAAAAAAAAGTGGGTTTTTTTGTGTCAAAACTGACATAAAAATTATATTTATTTTACAGCTTAGGCCTTACTTTAATGGTAGACTGAGCTTTACATGTCTTTCATTAAAGGTACATTAAGAAGTCTAAATAACTTTAGGCCAATTTCTACACTACCTTTCATTTCCGAAATACTTGGAAAAACAGGTTCATAGCCATCTTTCTGATAATATGTCAGGTTTCCATCCCCTTCACAGCACCGAGACAGCTTTGATTAAAATCACCAGTGATCTCCTGATTGCTGGCGACTTTGAACTTTTATAATTTCTCATACTCCTTGACCTAAGTGCAGCATTTGATCCCATTTCACATGATATTCTTTTTGATAGATTACGTTCCATTGGTTTTTCCACCATCGTTCTGAATTGGTTTCAATCTTATCACTCAGACTGTCAGCACTTCGTCAAACTTAAGAACTTCAAGTCACAGTCCTCCCCAGTTATTTCAGGTGTACCTCAGGGTTCTGTTCTTGGTCCTCTCCTGTTTATCATTTATCTTCTTCCACTTGGTCTCATTTTTAGAAAATGTGTTATTCATTTTTACTGCTATGTGGACGACACCCAGCTCTACTTCTCCACCAAGCCCAACACCACCCTTCCTCATCCTTCCTTTCGGACTGCCTCTGTGAAATTAAATTATGATTTAGTTAAAACTTTCTTAAACTGAACTCCAAGAAAACAGGATTTCTCCTTGTTGGCATCAAGTCTACCTTATCCAAATCTAATAGTTTTACAAATAAAGTTATTGATTCCACAGTTTCTCCCTCCCCTACAGCTAAGAGTCTGGGTGTCATCCTTGATAGCACTTTCTTTTTACTCTCATGTCAATAACATTACTCTGTCTGCATATTTTCATCTTCGAAACATCAACCGTCTCCGTTTACTTCTTACTCCTATCAGCACAGCCATCCTTATCAATGCTCTTGTCACGTCTCAGTTAGATTACGATAACTCCCTCCTCTCAGATCTTCCTCTTAAAATCATCCATAAACTTCAGCTTGTCCAAAACACAGCTGCTCAGATCATCACCAGAACTTCGTCGAAGGAACCCATCACTCCTATCCTTAAACACCTTCACTGGTTACCCATAAATTGTCGCATCGACTTCAAGATTCTCCTCCTCACTTTCAAAGCTCTCCATAACTTGGCACCTCTGTATCTCGCTGATCTTCTTTGCTATTACACACCTGTCCGAAGTCTTCGCTCCTCCTTATCCATTTCTCTTGTTATACCTCCTGCCCGCATGACAACCATGTGATCCAGAGCATTCTCCCGCAAAGTGCCTCGTCTCTGGAACTCTCATCCACAGCACATCTGTAATTATGATTCTCTGTCCTCGTTTAAATCTAACCTTAAAACTCACTTTTTTTAAACTTGCTTATTCTGTTTAATGTCATTATGTTTTCTACCATTAACTGCGTTTGATTTTATTGATATCTGCCTTTTATTGTTTTAATCTTTGTATCTTTCTTGTTCGGTGACCTTGAGTGATTTGAAAGGCGCCTTAAAATAAAATGTATTATTTTTATCATTATTATTATTATAGAAGGAGACTTTAACATCAAGCTTGAAAAGACTAAATGATTCCAGATTAATGTCACCTCACAAAATAAAAGCTAAACCTAAACGAATAATAAGAATTGTTAATATTTCACCTTCTTATCTCCTTGTTTCCTGCGTCTCAAACCAGGCCGGTAGTCGTCCCCGAAACGTAAAAAGTAATAATAGGACACCAGCCTTTCTATGGGATCTCTGATCACGTTGATGTAGATGGGTTTTCTCTTCACTCCAAACCTGGGGAGAAGCACACAGGTCAGAAAAATGAGCAGGAGTTTCATCAAAGCATCCAAACTAACAACGCAAATTGTTTTATTTAGAGCCATTTTCAGAGGTTTTAAACTTTAAATGACCACAAGGTGGAGTCAAAAGATCAAGCCCTCAACAAGGAAACTAATCCACAGCTCTCTTCATTATTAAAGGCCTAAATTAGGATTTATTTAAGGGAAGCATATTGCTTGAAGCCATACATGCCAGAGGTTATGATGTGGTTTAAAATTATGTTATGTGCAGTCTCATGCAATATAATGAGGTGTCACACTCAGAGTATGTGCAGGGAATTACTCTCAGCTACTACCACATTAAACTTCTATTCCCTGAGTTATGGGCATTTTAGTGTGGACTAATGTTGATTAGTTGTGGTGTCCATCCTTAATTGGACTGAGTCCAATTGTTAATCAGTTGTAGGGATATAATCAATGGTTACTTTCTAAAAGTTTCATTAAAATCTGTCCATCGATTCATGAGAAATTTTGCTAACAGACAAACAAGGTTAATGGTTAATGCTGAAACTTTCAGCAGACATGTTGAGCAACATGAAGCACTTGGGAGTATGTGTTGGTGATGACTTTCAGCTACTATCACACCAAACTTTAGCTTAGTATTTGTAAAACTGACTGAGTTATAGCCATTTTTGTGTTTTTAAAAGTCAACTGGCTGTGGCAGCCATTTTGAATTAGGTTGACTTCAAAAAGTACTCAATTGTAGCTGTTCATCCAATGATTACTTTTCAAAAGTTTCAATAAAATTTGTTTAGCGGTTCATGAAATGTTCTGCTAGCAGAGAGACAAACATTTTGATCCATGTACTCAGTGACTACAGCTTTACTTTGTGAAATCCAGGAAGGAGACATGTCCGTGGTAAAAGGCCGGTTTCATTTCCCTCCATTCAGTCACATTCTTTACGAACCGCACCTGAAGAAAACAAAAGTCCAGATTAAATGAAACGAAACAACTGTCAGGTTTGTGCAGCTGAAAGTCCACGAGCTGTTCCCTGACCTGGTCCTGGATGGACATGACCGGGTTGTTTTTGGTGGTGTTGATGTGCAGGACGTGGTAGTGGTTCTTCCCGCACAGGTCGTAGGCGATGTTGGTGAAGGAGGTGCTGGCTGTCTTGGGCACGCGGTTGTAGATGATCACCAGGTCGTCCTCGCCGTCCGACAGCGCCACCGCCGAGTCTCGCTCCCGCAGGCCGTCCTGCGTGTGACGCTGCTCGATCTCTCGCACCTCATGTCTGGCGATGGCTCGCTCTGTGGGAGTGAGAGGAAACCACAGGAGGCTCAGTTCAGAGCACGGAGCTGCTAACGTGTGAAGGTTGAGACAGCGTGAACGCAAGCATTTTATTCAGTATGAATGTTTATGAAGCGTTCACACTATTGTCATCCATTTTTCTTCCGTACGTTTTTCGGCACGATGCTCGTCCCGCAGTTTTCAAGCTATTTCAACAAATCATATCAAAACATTCAGCTCTTTCAGGTCAATCCTGCTATTACTTTTGGTATTGGTGCAACTTTAGCTTTTAAAAATATTTAGCTTTTTCGAACATGTTTTTTTTTTTCCTCATAGAAAATGAATTGAGCTCATTTTAGATTATAATTCATACATATACTATGATATGTAAAACCTCAGAAATGAACGAGGATATACGTTCTATTTTAAATGACTAAGAATTATAAAGTTGAGCTTCAATTTAAATCTGATCCACACCCTCGTCTCTGTTGTCCTGAAGCAGACTAAGTGTAACTCCACTAAAAATGGATTTTCATTTCATTTGACCCTCATCTGCGTCAGCGAGCCGGAAGCTCCAACTCTCCTTCTGCGTCACGACAAGAATAAACATTAATGTCAAACAGAACTAGTTATTAATCATTTAGTGAGCAACAATTTGATACTGCTGCATCACTTGCTGATCAGTCTATTCTCTAATATCAGGCCCACAGGTTTACTCTCCAATTCTTTAACGGAACTGTCTGTGAGCTCTGATTCAGATTTAATGTACTCCCAAAGAGCCAGATTCAAAATAAAATAAAACTCCTTTATTTTTTTTTATTTTTTTGTGGTGGACAGGAGCTTACAATTAATTGCCAAAGTTACTGATCTGATTGTTTAACAGGACATCGATAGCTTTAAAATGAGGAGGCTGGTGGGGGTTTATGGGGGTACTGCCCTCTAAACACTGTGAGACTCCAGAGAAGCCAGACTTCAGAGTCTCAGAGTGAATAGATTCAACACAAAAGGAGGCCTGGACTTTGACGCCCTCCGGCTTTTCTTTATCTGGATTCGCCTTAGACTGACGGCTGTTGACAAAGCTCTGAGTGCTCAGCAGGAAGGATGTAGATAGAAAGAGGCCATTTGTGTGTGTGCAGAGGAGGAGGCCACAACATTGGAGCACCTAATACCCGTGGGAGCACCCAACAGAACCAGAGGGCTCCCGAGCTTGCAAACTGGGACACGGCTGTAGCCTGGACTGGCCTGGCAACCAACACTGATGAAGATTTAATCTGTATTTCCACCTCTCTGTTTAATCTGTATACATTTAAAATCATCGGGAAAAGAATGTCCACCCTCCTTCCGTCCTGGGGTTTTATGTATAAAGTCTTAAAAAATGAACTTGGTATTCCTTAGGTTCTGAAATTATTCAAATCTAACCTGAAGTGTTCAAAAATGCACAACAGATTCCACCATGTTGTTATTTATTAACCAAAAACAAGCCAAATCTGAAGAATTGTGTGAGAAAAACTGTGTCCACCAATGTACGATTGCTGCTTAATAAGATTTAATATGGTTTAAAGCAGCAGCCAGAGCTACTGATCAAATGTATTTTTAACCAATCTTCAGTGTGATCGCCTCCTTAAAAGCAGGAGTTGGTTTTAGTTTGCTGCTCTGGTAGCATACAGGTGTAGGTTAACACACACCAAGGTGGAAATACAACAGCAATCACATTAGAAAAGCAACCATTGCTGGCCATCAATCTGGGAAGGAATAAAGGCCATTTCCAAACTGTTTTGAATCGTCATTCAACAGAGAGAAAAATAAATCACAAGTGGAAAACATTTAAGACATTTAACACGTCCCTGCAAATTCACCTCAAAATCAGACCATGTGATGTTCAAGAAAAGAAAATAGAAACCCAAGAGCTCAATCTCAGACGTTACAGGCCTCAGATATGGGAGAGTAAAGGTCTAAGATCATGGCAGGACAATTAGAAAAAGACTGAACCTGAATGAATTGTTTGGAATTGTTGCAGGAGAAAGTCTCTTCTCTATTAGCCAGAGCCTGACCGATATGGAAATTTTGGCTATTGCTGATAGCGATGTTGGGAGGGGAAGGCGACCGCTGATAACCAACATATTGGCTGAATTTGTTTTAGCTTTGTCCACCCCTAAGAACAGTGACTGGAGCGGGTCTGGTTTATTTACCACAGTTGTTAATAAGCATGAAACGCCATGGTCATAAACGGCGACAAAGCTAAGCAAATCAGATCCACACTACCTGGGCCGGATTTTAGCAGGGGCTTACCGGGGCTGCAGCCCGGGGCCCCGGCATTTCGGGGGCCCCGAAGGATGTTTAATGTTTTTGTGAATGGATAGTGTCAGAATTTAATCAATGACTATGATGATTTTGACAGCACCGATGAAAAATGTTCCAATTTGTTCTGGCAAACGTCCATCTTTAATGCTTGCTTGCTATTGGTCCACTTTTGACGCATCTTACGCATTGGGGAGGAGCGTCAGGGAATATTATTTTACAATGGCGGACAACAGAAAATATGACAGCGGAACGCAGAAAAGAAGGAAGAGAAAAGAAAAAGAGCATCGCGACAAAGAGGCGACAAACAAAATGCCTAAACTAACAGGCTTTTTTAAACCTGTTAGCGGAGATGGAGCAGAAACATCATTACCCCCCGCTCCTCAAACCCTCAGCTTTGCTAACACCGGCACTACGATCCCGCCAGAACCTTTAACCGTGACTGAGTCGGTGGCTGGACTGGCGTCTGTGGAGTCAGAGTCGGTGGAAGCGGGATCTTCTTCGGCAGATGGAAAGACGACTGTGGATCCGTACAGTACCGATCCTGCGCATTGGGGGGAAATTGACGAGCCCGTGCGGGCTTACTGGGCTGAGCGAGGACCGGAGAGCTGTCAAAATATGAATGTTGGCTTTCAAGCATCGGAACGGGTGTACAAGCATCAAAAGGCTGTGAAATAATTTGAAAACAAACTTGGTCTTTTTTAAAGTTTATCTGCTAAATTAAAGTAAAAATTTAAATGATTGTAGATACAAGACAAAGATTTTGCATGTCTGCATTATGAGACAGGCTCAAAGTTTCCAACTTTTCAGGGTTGAGTATTGTTTTCTTATTTGGGTTACATGGTTTGCGTTTGAGTAAATGTAGGTCGTGTTTGTGGTTCTAGTTCCTCCAAATAAGATGAATGCAGAAGTGTCATTAATAAATGGAAATCTGTATTTTGTTCTACATATTTTTCAAGATGTTCTCTGTAAAAACCTTGGTCTAGAAGATGAAAATTGTTCATTTGCACCCACCTCTGCTTTTATTGAGAACAGGGGGCTGTAAAAAATCATAGAATATGAAAAAAAAAAACTAGAATATGATGCAAGCATCATATTCTAGTTTCAACCCCAACATGTGGTTTAGTCTTTCTAGAAAAGAGTTCAGAGTTGTTTGTAGTTTGTGACAACTGGCTTATTAAAGTTGTAAGTTGTGCAAACTTACTGTTCGGTCATTTTCTGCTCATCCTCTAAAACAAAACAAACACATACAAAAAAAAAATAAAAAATAATATATATATATATATATATATATATAGGGCCCCCATATATTGACTCCAGCCCAGGGGCCCCCATCCTCCTAAATCCGGCCCTGGCTATACCTATAGACCAATAGGTTTATATGTGGTGCACTGGTCATAAAAACAGTCTTACTAATGTGTGTTCATATTTTCTGTTCTCCACTATTCACCATAGTTATCAAGTGTGTTACATAAAAATACATTAAACAGAGAAACATCCTTCTCTGTTCATTGTTTAAACAGTCACATATGGTGAAGGTCTAATTTTTATTGACCGCAGCAGAGTTTTTTTTGACAGAGAAGTAGATATTTCAGACCAACAATGCTTTTCATTGAGGACAACAAAGATAACGTTACTAACACTGATATACTTTACCTCTATGCTATATTTATTATTCTGGATAAAGTGTTACAAGGCAAAAGCCTATGCTAGTTTTTCTAAACCACTGGTTCCCAACCCTGGTCCTTGATGAACACCGTCCAGCAGGTTTTATTTGTTTCCCTCATTTGACTTGACTGATTTGAATGAATGGGTGATTAAACAGCTTCTGCAGACTTTGAGGAAGTCATTAAATAACTGAATCAGGCGTGTTGGAGCAGGAAACAACTGAAACATGCAGGATGGTGTTCCTCAGGTACCAGTGTTGGGAACCACTGATCTAAACTTTACCGGTACTTTGCTAACTTGAGAGGCACGTAGCCAATGACAAGTAGGTTGGAGGATTGAAGAGAATTTATTATTATTGATTTTTTTTACAGATCAGTTAAAATAAACGTACCATGTTCTGATCAGCAAAATATGCTACACACAGTATTGCCCCTGCTTTGTCTGTGCTGAATGTGAAAGTGAAACTTAAGTGAACAGTCATGACTTGAAAGTAGTCTTCATGCGCCCTCTGCTGGATACATTGTACTATTATGGCTGCTTCCCAGCATTTTAAGTGTGAAAATTAGAAGTTGCTTATATCGGCAAATAATCAGACAATTATCACAGATACCGATATCTCCCCAAACATCTATATCAGCCCCACTGATATATCGGTCTACTCTTAACATAACATGGCAGCAAGACTTAGATTTGTAAAGTTTCATCTGAAATAACCTCAAAATGTCTAGAACATTTTCCTTTGGACAGATAAGAACAAATTTACCCACAATGCACAGCAGCATGTTTAAACACCTCATACCAGCTGTCAGCATGGGGGTGAAGAGCTGATGGTTTGGGCTCTTTGCAGTCTTTGAGTCGACTATTAAGTCCTCTGCAGACCAAAGGACTTTTGAGTCAAATGTGAGGACATCTGTCCAACAGCTGAAGCTTGGACCAAACCAGGTCATGATGCAACAGAACAATGGTCCTAAACACAACAGATAATCTACAACAGAATGGCTCAAACAGAAAAGAGTCAAGATGATGCAAAAGTCCAGTCAAAGTCCAGGACCTC